TCTAACCGTTTCTGAGATGGCGTCCACCAAAAAACTCGAGGTAGCTACAGCCTCTATGCATGGAATGAGAATAAAACGGATGGTCTAAAACGTCTACAACGTATTTTTGTTCTCTGGTAAAACTTTAGTTTCTATTCTTCATAAACCACGTCTACCGGTCTGTAATATTGGCACAGGGCTCTTTTTAATTTTTTACAAAACCCACAGTTTCCATCACCAAAGAGTGTCTTGTAATAACACTCCAGGTCTCTCGCTCTACCTTTTTCTCCTTTTTCATTGTTACATTCAACGTCCATTTGCTTTTTTAATTTTTGCGCAAAGGGATTCCTTTTTTCAAATTCCTTTATTGCCTTGCACGACTTTAAAAATTGCTTGCAATTCTTCAACACGCATTTCTGTTGGCATTTACGTCTGGTAAATTTCATGCAACAATCTTGAATACATCTTTCTCCTTTACATTCTACGAATACATACAAGGTAACGACTAAAAGAAAATGCTATTTATTCATTTATGTGTACCGTCGCTTTTTTTAACATCTTTTGTGGTGGTGCTCACCATAGAAAAAATGCAAGTTAATAAAAGTATTCTCAAGAAAAAGGGGTTCATGATGTATAATAAATAACGAAAATTTTGAATTTACTTTCAAACCAAAAAAATTGACAGCTGAAATCAATCAGACGATCAAATAAAAAAAATATGTCTTACCGTTGAAATTACCGGGAAAATTTACTGTTGTTTGTCGTTGTTAGCAAAAATATTTGTTTCCGAGTTTTTTGGGTTAGTTATAGTGGAAGAATCGTCCTGATTACAACCAGAAGGTGTAACAGTGTTCACTTCATTAAAAAATGGAGATGTTAAGCCCCTTTGTCGTCCAAAACAACAAATACGTGGTATATAATCGACAGCTATAATGTAACAAGAACACTTTACAATTTTCCCCTTTCAGTAGCAATTTTTTACCTGATATTGGCGGCAAAACCTTAAAAGAATAATATGCGAATAATGCCAGTAATAATTCGAAAAAAACTGCTATCATAATTTTGATATTGAACTGAAATTTCAAAGCTTCATCTGTCAAAAGGTTTTCAAAAATCATAGACGTAGAAATCAAGAGATAGAATAATAAATTAACTCTTGTGTATCGGGAATCGTAGTTTAATGGTCAGAACATTGGTGCGTAAAGCCAAAGCTCCCGGGTTCGATTCCCGGGGGGG